CAGATCTTCCACTCTCCATCAGCTTAACTCCAATAATGGAGTTCTTGCTTTATGTAAATTGAGTGGGATTAAGAAGAAATTCTAATTTTACCCCTTTAAACAACCTTTCCCGAAATCTGGACTAGCGCGGCCGCGCACCTGACCGCGCTAGTCCAGTTGTCCCTTATTCTTGATTCTTTTCTTGTTCTTCCACCATAATTAATTCCGAGGGGTTTTTCATTTATTGCTCCAAAATGGTTCCAATCATATTTGATTACGTAATATACACTTCTTTACCTGAAATGTATACAATTCACTAATAAAGCCCATAATTCATCAATTAATCATAATATATCATTGGAATATCATCAAGCAGAAGCATAAACAATAGCTAAATCACCCAGATTTCGCTTATTATCATCCTTGCATCTTGAGTAAAATGTTTATTGGTTGAACTCTGAGATCATAGGCAAAGATGATGATTTAAAGAACTACTAAGTACAGTATGTACTTAATATCGTATTTCTTGACGGTTTGAAACATGTGAGGTATCACTCTAGGAAGAATGATGTAACATATTGAAATAGATAGATGTATGCTGCAACACTGAAAGGTATATTGATGACTATATATAAAAACATCAGGTCAAATTAATATGCTGTCAAACTAGTAGAGGAACTGAATTCCTCGGATAGCTTATTCTCACAGGACTTGATTTGTCATCAAACTACAGCCTGTGCATTATTAGGGGAGCACTATATTTGAGTTTCAAAGTGACCATAGTGTATGGAGAGTGTGTATAAGATGGAGAGAGCTCGAAGGAGAAGCGTTGTAGAATCATAGTTATAGCCATTTTTGCTTCCAAAATCGCGAAGTTTTGCCCAATGCATTTTCGTGGTCCTGCACCAAATGGAAAATATATCATTTGCCCCTTTGTTGCCTTTGCTACCCCTTCGCTAAATCTCTCTGGATTAAACTCCTTTGCATCTTCACCCCAAATTTCTTGTCATGATGCGATAAGATTGCTGGCATAAAGAGCAGTGCACCCTTTGGCAAATCTAGTTCCCCTAATTTTGTCTCTTCCTTAGTCCTTCGAGTACGAGTTGCTATTGGTGGATATAACCTTAAAGACTCGTACAAAATCATCGTCACCTGAGAAATAAAATAAATTGTAAATATTATTATCATGGGTGTTCTTTTCATTGAAGTTCTATCTACATTGTGAACAAACTAAAATGTACTGCAATCTTTCTACAAATCTTGTTGATGGAAGCTAATAGATGTCTTGAATTTAGTCATGAGGTATACTGGTTAAAACATAAAAATGTAGTACAACTGGTTTTTATTGTTGCCATTTTCAATTTTAACTAACAACTGAGATTGTTGAAGTTTGGCAAAATGCCAAAGTCCCACATCGGTTGGGAGAAGAGTTGGGGGGATTTTTCCCCTATAAAAGAAGGCCTAATATTTAGGATTTAAACACACCTCTCATTTGCCTTCTTATCTTCTTAAGACATTTGTATCTTCTCTCTTTAGTATTATTTCACTTGTATTTTTGGAGTGAAATAAAATATTGGTTGTGTCCAAGCAGTAGGCAAAATTAGCCGAACCTCGTAAATTCTGGTGTTCC